TGCTCTTGTGTTTCCGTTAACGTTTTGATCTTGATCGAGGAGTAGAAGACCAAGACGGGTGCGTAATTGATCGTTTTGCTTATCGATTGACGTTGCATTCCGATCGTTGTTAAGATTTTCACCGCCTGTAAAAACGATAAATAATTTTAAAAACTAATGAATATATGCTTTAAAGTATATTTACTCAAATATAAATATCAAATATAAAATTAATTAAAACGTGCGAAGAAAACATGCAATGAAAAACATGCGAATTCAATTAAAAATTATCTCAAGGAACAAAAAATAACTTTTTTATGCAAGAACGATTATGAATTTAAAGAATCCTGCCTGCTAATTGATTTAAGCCAGCATCAGATGAATTCGAATTTACGCTCCATAATGACTTTATTTTTCCGAAAACTAAAGATGATAGATGTCCGGCGTAAACTGAAGTACCAGCGAGGCTTAAACGATTCAAACGATTTTCACTGCCGGTTGTGTTTGTTGTTGCTGCTTTCACGTTGTTACTAACATTCTTGCGACGTCTTCGGGTCACCACCGAATCAGAACATGTCGATGTATTAAGAACATTGGTATCTTTGGCTTTGTGTTTGATTATAGCAATGATATAGAAATGAATAAAAATGATATTGAAATGAATAGACATAAAAAAATATTATAAGATAATATAAGAATATAAAATATGCTATATAGAATATATAGCACATTAAAAAAACTTGTCTTTAATTAGTCTTTAAGAGGTTAATTATGGTCATTCTTTAGATAGGTATATTGTCTTCGCTGGTTTTCATAAATTCATGAAAACCGCCACCCTTTGATTCTGGTTGTGAAATCATCCTTAAAAATTTTGAAAGAGTTTTGAATAAATTCATTTCCTTTTCTTAGATGTAGTGTCCCAAATATATACACTATAATACAACCGCTAACCAAATGATGCAAATCTGTTTATAAATGACTAGGATTTTATTATAACCTCATTTCTATGATCATTAAGTATGTGTCACTTTTGATGAATATGAAGTATATGCGATCATAATGATATATTAAATCATTTCCATGTACAATAAAAATTAGCCTTTAAACTTACCTGATAATATCGTAGCAGTGTCAATAGGACAACCGCCATTTGAAGCGGCACGTCTATGTCCAGTTAAAGCATTTCGTAGATTTTTATGATTGAAGAAACGACGTCGTGTCGGTGGTGTGGCAAATGAGGATGCATTGATTTCGCTATAATTGCTATTATGTACATCAGCAACAACAGTATATGTTGTTGCTGCTTTAGTGCTAGAAACAGCCTTAGGTAATTTTCCAATGCTGGCATAACGGTGATGTTCCGGTGATAGAGACTCTTGCCGGTTTTGCTAAATATTGTACAAGAAAAATATGAAAATTATATGAAAAAAAAACTTTTAATAAAACGAGAAGAATATGAAAATAAATTTTTTTATTAAATGTGACCAAGTGCTTATGGAAATGTTCATGTTTTCATTTTTATCAATGATGAAAGTTCAAGTCTGGCATGTGCGCGTCCATCATGTTCATAAATTCGTTTCATACGAATTCATTGCGACTATAAACATAACTGACTACTAAAGACTTAAATAGAAAAAAAATCATATATTATTGCTTAGAGCTGCGCTTAAGGTTTTATTTTTTTATTAAAATAAACTCTTGCCAAGCGAAATTGTCTAGAATAAAACGAAGTTGAAGTGTAATGCTTTTAAATGAATTATTTTTTATGAAAAAATAACTAATCCGGAAAATTTTAAAATGTACTGAAATATACTAAAAAATATGTAGGTAGAAAAGCATAACATATTGATTTGCCGTAATCAAGCGGTTATGTGTAGTCTTTTGCGTTGGAAAGATAAGTGGGTTTAAGTTTGTGATAGAAGTACTAAGATAAACTATAAGCGATTGTGAAGTTAGCAAAATATGATTTTAATTTAACAAAAATGCCATTTGTACAAAATTTACATAAAAAATAAATGATACATTATCTATTAAATAAATGATTCAAGTCTATTGAATGTGTGTGTTTTAATATTTCTCCTATTTTATACTGCTTTTAACTCATTATTTCAAAACTATTGGACGCTATTTAACTAATGTAAATTTTTTCGTCAATTCTTCTTAATATTTTTGATGGATTGCGAAAATTTCGATGGTTCCATTTGTGGAATTAATTGGCTTAGCTGTCACTATATGTAAAATCCTCTGGTATTCGTGAAATTTGACTTTGATTTCTGCATATTTTATGTTTATTCTGCTCCATTTTTCCTCTTTGGATATCTTCTTTGATTAATATATCTTAAGTATGCGTCTCTAGGTAAGTTAGGTTAGGTTATGCTGGCTGACCAAAAAGGCAACGCAATGGATCATTAGGGTCGCAATGGATCTGGTGTTAATTTTTTAACGATAATGTGCATCACTTACGATGTGCGTGTTATTATCAAATTTTCTTAGAATTTCCACAGAAACTTCAGGTATGTGCTACAGTCCTGTAAAACTGACAGACCCTAAGTATTTTAGTCGAGTTCTTAAGAGATCCGGGCAGTTACATAGAAGATGCTCCAGAGTTTCCTTTGCATTCGGCTAATTAATTCTTCTTCTTCTTTGCTTGATCAAAAGCGAGTTAGCTTCTGAAGCACTTTTATTCAATAGGATCTGTGGCCAAATCTTATAATAAGTTATTCAGATGATTTTGTAGAAGTAAACTTTGAAGTTCAGCTTATCTTCCTGATGGAATGTATATATACTGCATTAGATTTCAGAGCATGCAATTTTAATTAGTGTGCGCCTTCACAGAATCGAATCTTATTAATTGGTAAAGTTAAACCGTTGATAATCATATATATTTGGTTAATGATGAAGTATGTGCTTCATCATGCTTTCAAAAATATTAGTACTCGACAAAATACAATCTATCAAAGTAGGAGCAACAGGTTGAAGTGTTATGTAGTTGGAAGGGATCCGCTTACATCTGTTTACTCATTATATTGCCGTATAAATATCAACGGGTTTGAAATCAATTTGAACCATTAATAAAGTCTTAAATGAATTTTAAGTGTAGGTTTTGTTATTGATTAAGCTCCTTTACAAAATAAGTCTCTAGTATATTCAATGTAAGTTGAGTATTCCCTGGATATAATAATAAGGCAGATGTTTAACTGTTTCTTGTCTGTTTCTTGTCTTAACGAGTGTCACAGGAATCAGAAATGAGACAAAATAATAACAAGGTTGAAACAAATATTAAAATAACAAATAGAAAGAAATATACATCTATTGATATATTTTATATTGAAATAGCTAAGTTGAAAACATAAAACTAACATAGTCTACTTTTCATGTTATGTTCAAAGCCCTGTGTAGATCTCAGGTCCCTGCATGTGATTTCCTTCCAACAATTCTTCAAGATCTGCAGCAACTAATTCATGAACATCATGCATTAGTCAGGCTGTTCAAGACTGCGTTGGAGAGCATGACACATGATAACGACAAAGTTGTGATCAGAGCGGATAAACGACCAGCAGAAACACATGAACGCAAATTTAACGCTCCAACAATAGATGAAATTGCAATCCTGATCGTTGGAGAAAACTTGAACACACGCGATATTGTGCTTACACATCGCGATACTGGGCAACTGCAACAAGTATGTGAAACACACCGTTCATATGACACGTTGCAATACCCACTGATGTTTTGGCAAGAATATGATGGATATAACTTCAATATAAAAATGATAAACCCATTGAATGGTGGGTATCAACATCATAGTTTTCAATTCAGAATACAGACGTGAGTCTTACTTCTAAGATACTAATTTTACTGTTTTTAAATCAGGTGAGGAAACTACCAAGAAAATTACTTCGTGTAATCCAAAATCGAAAGAAATTGTTCAAATGCTGCTTCCTGGACAGACATCAAGTGATCGGCACGACATCACTGCACGTGTATTCAAGCACAAAATACGATCGCTGATGAATCTAAGATTTAATATAACATTCATTGACTTTTACGCGGTATGAAGTTCGCGGGGTCACCTAGTTTATTATATGACTTAATTATTTTTAAAAATATATGCAATGTATTTACAAACAAAAATATTATTTGAAAGTCGTTTTGCAGTGATGAAATTTTAATATAAAAAATAATTTAAATTAATATCA